CCATGGCACCTCTGGTCACCCCAACTGGATCCATGGTGCCTCTGGTCAACCCAAATGGCCCCATGGCACCTTTGGTCACCTCAACCAGCTTGATGGCACCTTTGGTCACCTCAACCTGCCCCATGGCATCTTTGGTCACCTCAGCCGGCTCCATGGCACCTCTGGTCACCCCAACTGGCCCCACGGCACCTCTGGTCACCTCAACTGGCTCCATGGCGCCTCTGGTCACCTCAACTGGCCCCATGGCAACTTTGGTCACCTCAATTGGCCCCATGGCACCTCTGGTCACCCCAACTGGATCCATGGTGCCTCTGGTCAACCCAAATGGCCCCATGGCACCTTTGGTCACCTCAACCAGCTTGATGGCACCTTTGGTCACCTCAACCTGCCCCATGGCATCTTTGGCCTCAATTGGCTCCATAGCACCTCTGGTCACCTCAACTGGCCCCATGGCAACTTTGGTCACCTCAATTGGCCCCATGGCACCTCTGGTCACTCCAACTGGCCCCATGGCACCTTTGGTCACCTCAACCGGCTCCATGGTACCTCGGGTCACCTCAATTGGCTCCATAGCACCTCTGGTCACCTCAACTGGCCCCATGGCAACTTTGGTCACCTCAATTGGCCCCATGGCACCTCTGGTCACTCCAACTGGCCCCATGGCACCTTTGGTCACCTCAACCGGCTCCATGGTACCTCTGGTCACCTCAACTGGCCCCATGGCACCTCTGGTCAACCCAATTGGCCCCATGGCACCTTTGGTCACTTCAACCGGCTCCATGGTACCTCTGGTCACCTCAACTGGCCCCATGGCACCTCTGGTCACCCCAACTGGCCCCAGGGCACCTCTACCCATGCCAGCCGCCCCCGCACTCACGGTCCATGGCCATGCCCACGGAGATGCACTTCTTGAAGCGGCACAGCTGGCACTGGTTGCGGGTGATCTTGTCGATGACGCAGCAGCCATCGTACTTGCAGGAGTACGTGGGGTGCAGGTTCTT